CACTGCAGAAATAGTTAACTTGCTAACATGGCAGCTACACTACAACCAAACAATTGTATTAGTGTTTTGACAAGATGTGGAGCACTGTCAGGCCATTAGTGGTCTGAGGGGTGATGGAGATAGGAAATATTGGCAAGATTCTGTGGCTCAAACCACATGATGCCTCTGACTCCACAGCGCCAACTTGAGGCAGGTGTGAGCTGGAGCAGCAGACACAGTTATGTAGCCACTACAGGCTATGTGTGCAACAGCCTTGCTGTGCTGATATATACACTCTGGAAGTTGTTTGCTTTCCACTGTGGTATCACATGAACAGTTAAAAATGAATATGCTGCAATCATGGAGGAAATTTTGCATTATTTCTGGAAGGATGGGGCTGCATATTCAATGATCAGAATATGCAACCATACCATCACAAATGGATTACTGGATCTGTGTTAACATGATTGATCATTAACAAAAAGTAAAAAAAAAAAATCCAGTTTTATTCTTTCTTATGAATATTCATAATGAAAAGCCCCAGAAACTTGCATGAAGTAACATAATTTAATATTGTTAAAAAAGAAATAAGCTTTTTATTATTAAATTATTCTTGGAAATGATCAAATACTCAAATGTCACCATTGTTCAGGGTTGTTTTTATATTGTTGTAAGTATCATGTATGTATTGGTAGTGTTTGCTTAATATTGAATTATGTCTTTTATTTTATATTGGTCTCACTAAGCATAATGATTCACTCTCTGGGACACAGTTGAGATTTGGGGCTCACCCCACATTACATCCTGACTCTTTTCCTTTATTGAGATATCTGTCACCAATGCAAAGATCTCATGTGGCTGAAGTCCTGAGCATAGGAAATTCTAGAAGGAAGCCTTGCGTGTTCTCAGATCCTATAACGGCCTGTGTTTATGGCAAGATCCATATCAGATAAGGAAGGCAAAGAGCGCACATGACCTGAAGTGTCACCTGGACCATAAATAAAGCCCTTTATTAGAGCTCCCAGGACCTGCTCTTTTAAAATGCTTCTTTATTTAAAATCTAAATCATACATCATGTGTCACAGTGAAAGTAGCCTACAATTCTTTAGAGTGACAGTGGGTGGGCTTCTGTATGACCTGTTTGAGCCAATCACAAGTGAGCTTCATAACACAGGTTCTCCACTCAAACTTGAAATAAAAACTATGTGCCCTGCTGGTCTCATACAGATGGCTGAATGAGATGAAACACACAGTTCTGTATCCCTGCTCTGTCTGGCTGGTCTGTCTACCTCACGAAATACACAATTTAATTGACGTTATATTTAGAACTATTAGCTAAATGAATTCAGCAAAAGATACCTTACAAGAAAATGTTGAGACAGGAACCAGGGAGAGGAGAGAGTGGCAAGAGGTCATGGCACTACCATGATCTCATGGAAAGATTCGAATGAGTTACCAGACAACAGTCAGTGTGTATAAGCCCATTCACTGTGTGCTAACATTAGTGGTCCTTGTTAGGTGGCACTAGGCTATGCTAACTTTCTAAATTGCTAATCTCACTCTGTCGGTTCAAGCTTGCTCAATTTTCAGAACAAATATTTGCAGGCACTTGACACAACTGTCACACACTATAAGACAGTGTTGGGGCCTTCCTTGATTTAAGTATTCATTTAAACATGTGTTACTTAAAAAATGTAACTGTATTAACCACAATACAGAGGTATATTGGTTATCTTACTGTTGGTTATGGTTCTGCTACTATACACATTATTTGCTTAAATAGCTTATTATGTGTGACATTTCCATAGTAATGGTTCCTTAAAGTAGTCGAACACACATGCACACCTATAGTATCAACCACTCTTCATAATATGACGAGGTCTGTGTAGCAATGTATGTGTTTGAATCCATAGGGCTCAATGTGCTGTAGGTCTGTATAGCAATGTATGTGTTTGAATCCATACGGCTCGATGTGCCATAGGTCTGCAAAGGAACCTTGGTGTTTCCAGCTATGTTCAATTTTTCAGTGAGAAATGATTGGGTCTTGACCGTAATCCACACACATTCAGATTTCCATTTTGAGGTGGTGCTGTCAGGATCAATTTTCCAGACAGGAAATGAAGATCTGCTGGCATTTCCTGCTGAATGGTCAGTGTAGTGCCAAGGGGCACAGCTGCCATATTGATGGAGCGGCATCTATACATGGTCTGTGCAGCCTGCCTTCCCAGTAGCACAGAGCACTGACAGGAAGGAAATTTAACTGGTCCCTGATTAGGATGGATGACATCTTTGTAGAATCATCTAATGTTGTCAAATAAGCTGATAAGCAATATTGTGGAGAGGCTGGCAAACACTTCTCACAAAAATGAATGAAAAAACAAATGTTCATAAACAGAATAATTTACTTTAAAAGCCAACAAACAAAAGCCTGAGCACATAGTCAGCTGAAAAAGTAAACTTCCTGCTCACCAGCCACACACCTTTATTTAATATGCCTTTAAATAGGCAGGTGATGCCCAATTAACCAATGAGCTGTGTAAAGACATTGACAAGAGGCCGTTTGCAATGAAATTGAGTAGATACAGATCTGTTATTTAGCAGGATATAGAGTGGAAGCTGGAGGATCCTCAGAAACAAACACAAACAATCACAGACAATCAAGGTTTGGGGACAGGTGAAGGTTTCTCCTTAACAAATACCTTTCCATTGTTTGCCGTGGGCTCTGACAAGCTAAACTTCATGTGTGTTTTGCCTCAAACTGAGCCGTAGTGGAGAGCTCTGGTATGTTCATTAGACGGAGGTCCTGCTGTAGTGTGCAGCGGTGAGGACAGTGGCCCTGAACTCACAGCAGACACACCTGTCACACCAGCATGCTCTCCTTGAGACTCTCAGTGATTAGTACAGTGCTTCCTGTGCACAAGAACACACCCAGCTTTCATACAACCTGTTTTATCAGGAGGGAACAAGTGAAGCTCATGCTTAAACTGCCAGGAGATGAGTAACTCCATGCTTTCACTGTGGGTCAATTAGAGAATCTAATCAATTAGAGAATTACACTATAATCACACAGTGGCCATAAAGGCAATGCATTTGCCATGCACCACATTTAGTTTCACCTAATACAAAGAAATTACATGATATTATAATAGCATGTAACTGAAGTAGTATGTCACCTTCAACATTGGTAGAGCACATCAATGCACATCAATAGCTCAGTTTAAATGTGTGGCCATTATTGTAGTTAGATAAAACTGTGATCCTATTATGCTAACACGAACATTAGCCTCTGCAAGCTGAGGGCTAGTGTGGGTGGTGGTCTCCTACAGCAGAAGATCACATGTGTGCTTCATGGCCTCTCTGCTTTGAATGGTGTGAGACAGATTGCAGGCCTCTGATCCCTCCTTCTGAGTGAAAGTGCTTTAACTGTGCGTCAGCCCTGGCTCGTATGCTTTCCAAGAGCAACTAGGAGCTGCGTAGCGGCAGTTGTGTCAAAGCAGATTGTGTGAGTGGGTGGCAACATCCTCTTGGGGCATTGGGCAGAGTGCCTGGTGTCAGACCTGGCCCTTGCAATGACACAAACTCAGACCTGGCCTGTTCCATCACCCCTCTCTAGACCTTCCATTTGTCATCCATCACACTATTCTATCACTCCTCTCTGGACCTTCCATTCATGACCGTGGGATCTCCCTGTCTCATCACTCTGTGGCAGTTTGATTGAGTTTATCAACATCGCTCCCATTTCGTGTGGCGTGGGTCATCTGTGTTTGGTTAGCTTGCCCTCTGAGAACGAGAACACAGTGAGGTGGCAGGTGTCCTGTTAGTAAAGGTGGCTTTTGCAAATAAAAACTGATTACAGTGTATTGATTTTTAGCATGTGGCTGTTTTCATATTTTTCCCAGTGAGGAGACAGCACTGGCCTGTTAGCGTGTGAACATTAGCCTCAAACATGCACATGCGTTGCCATTTCCATGTCAGTCATTTTGGGAAGTGGCACATCTTGGAATGGTGCTTGAGGACTGTTAGAGAGCCAGTTTGTCCACTGAGGCCGCCAAGGTTTAATCACAGCAGAAATGGATGCCATTTAAAATGACACAATTGCAGCTGTGACTGAGATTGAGGGTGATGCTGTGTGATTGCAGGCAGTCTTGAAGGCAGCTGAGTTGTCAACAGCAGCCTGGATAGCATCATTACCTCCCTCATCCGTTACTGCTTGCTCACCCATCAGGAGTAACAGAGCAACGCTCACTAATTACCCTGGACAGAACAGACAACAGGTCAGGGGAGGGGGTCACTGCAGTGCTCAGCTTGTTAGCGCTCAATTTCTCATCCTTTCTTGTCCAGGGAATGAAAAGTTTCTCTGTGAATGTTTACAGCGGGGGTAATAGCTATGGATGTTAGCTACTCTACTGAAGACTGCAGACACTTGGGCTAGACTGTTATTTTTATGTGCAGGCTACTTAAATGCCATCTGTAGGTTTTTGTTGGTAAAGTGGGAAATCTCTCGGAAGGTAAGCCACGTGCTATAAGCGACCATAAGTGTCCCTGCGTGTGACGTTGTGACTTGATGGACATTTTGTTCTTCTGCCATAGATGTACAGCACTGCAGGGAAAAATTTTTGCTCCTGAGACAGGTTTTTGCTCTTCCTTATATTAGGTATCTCTGAGATGCATTGCAGTATCATAAAGAGTAAAGATGGCACCTCTGCCATCATCCCTGTAGCAGGTGAAGACAGAGCAGATGCAGCTTCAAAAACTGCCAAATGACTTTTCTTGTAGTAAACAATAATAATGGTACACTTTATTAATCCCTGTGGGGAAATTTGTCTTCTGCATTTGACCCATCCAAAGCAGTGGGCAGCCATAGTCCAACTCCAGTTCTTTTGTCAGTGCCTTGGTCAAGATCACTGACAGGAGTATTAATCTTAACATGCATGTCTTTTGATGGTGGGAGGAAACCAGAGTGCTCGGTGGAAACCCACACAAACAGGGGGAGAACATGCAAACTCCACGCAGAAAGGACCTGGAATGGCCGGGATTTGACCCCAGGACCTTCTTGGTGTCAGGCAACAGTGCTAACCATTGAACCACCGTGCTGCCCCCTTAGAAGTGTTTTCGGGTGTTACCCATGATTCCATTAGCATAAGAAATTACATTTGCAATTACATGTAGTCTCTCTGCAGACATTCACCGCCCTGACTATGTGAACACTTCAAAGTCAGTTCCATGGCAACAAATTGTCTTCGCTCACGAATCTCACCATTTCTCAGGTGTCTTTTTTCTGTGTGCTCGCAGAGTCTGTGACCTTGTAATTGGGTCAGTTGCGTGTGCTGATCCTGTATGTCCCTTAGGGCCTTGTGTAATCACCATAATGGCTGCATCAGTATTGACCACCAGAGAGAGAGGGAGGAGGAAGATCAGTTCTGCAGTTTGTGCTTTTGAAGCTTCTTATTGTTCATATTGACCTTGTTCATAACTTAATTTTCTGTTTTTTTGCTGTATCTTCCTCCTCAAATCCTTTATCATTCTTTTTTCTTTTCATTGCCTTTTTTGTGGCCTTTTTGACCTTCATGTCAATCTTTTTGTCAATCATTTTTTGTTTCTTTTTGTCATGTACCTCTCTCTGTTTGCTGGCCTCTCTGATGCCCCCTCCCCTCCCAGTCTCTCATTGAATACATGCCTGTGTGTTTAGCCGTTTTCTCATATGAACTCCGGACAATGACCTGCTCTATTCACACATGGACTTAATCTGACATTACACGGACTTTGTACTAGGGATCTGGCAGGGTAAAGTCCATTTATTGTCTGGTCCAACTGATTCGGACATTTGCGTTCTCACAAACAGCTCCTCCGGGTAATGTCTAGATAAGTACAGGGTTGCAGTGCATGTCTGAAAGGGGCTTTTGTTTGTTTATCTGTGTCACGCCTGCTTATCGATGGTGCTGTGATTGATTGGGTTCTGCCAACAGGGGGTGCCAGATATGAATAAGTTGTTGACGAGGGGGCATCCTTCTGAGGTGGGGCTGCAAGAAGCCAGCTTGTAACGACAGGAGAAGCACAGCAATTTTAAACAGATTTAAACAGAGAGAAAGAGAGAGAGGGAGAGAGAGAGAGAGAGAGAGAGGTAGAGAGAGGGAGGAACCTAAAAATGTAAAATCTTTGACAATATATTCAAATATGTAATGCCAGTAAAGCACTGACAGGGGAAGCGAGTGGGAGAGAGAGATGGAGAGAGAGAGGCAGAGGGAGATGGGGAAAGAGACATAGTGAGAGAGATGGGGCAGAGATGGAGAGAGAGGGATGAGGGAAGGATAGAAAGAAGGAGGGGATTTAGAAGAGAGATATGGGACAGATGGAGAGAGAGGTTGAGGGATGAGGGAGGGAGAAGGAGAGAGTGAGATGGAGGGAGGTTTGGAGGAGAGCAATGGGGAGTGATGGAGAGAGAAAGACAGATTTAGGGGGGTTTGGGGGAGAGTGATAGGGAGCGCGAGAGAGAGAGATCATTGATACCCGCTGACAGGAGGAAACTCCACTGCATTAGGGACAGTGCTGCTGCTGGCAGAGAAAAAAAGTAAAGGAGAAAGCAAGAGAGGGAGGGGGAAGGAACACAAGCAGTGAGCGCAGACCTCCCTGTTGTGTTCTGTTAAAGGTTGTTATACCTAGTTAAGTGTTCAGTTACTCTTGCCTTTAAGAATCTGTTATGCGCTGCATTATGGGATTGTAGGACAGCCGGAGATGCGGAAGTTTTGGGGCTGTGTGTGTGGTGTGGGGGTTTTGGAAAAATTAAAACGTTAAGGAAAACCAAACTTGCGGTCTCTCTATGCAACATTTTGGCGACGAGGATGGCTGATTTTACTCTACCGCCTCCTTCCCCATTTTTAGCGGTGCCAGGAGATCCGCATGTGCCATGGAGCCGATGGTTTCATTCTTTCGAAATGTATATGCTGGCGCTCGATTTGCAAGATCTAGGTGATGCTCACAAACGCACCATTTTGCTGCATTGTTTAGGCACAGAGGGACAGCGCGTCTTCTCTACACTACAACCAGCGGATAGTACCTTCACAGGGGCAGTCTCCGCACTTGAGAATCATTTCAGCGGATCTCGAAGTGTAATTATGCATCGCTTTCTTTTTCGGCAACGAGTGCAACTGCCGGGTGAGTCCGTATCTCAGTTTGTTTCTGCATTAAGAGAACTCGTACAGCCATGTAAATTCGGAGCACTTCAGGAGGAATTTGTGCGTGACCAGCTGATCGAGAAAACTTCATGTGTTCCACTTTGAGAAAAACTGCTGTTAGAAACCGACGATCTAACACTGGAAAAGGCTTAAGCCATTGGCAAACAAACTGAGGTTGCTTTAGCTGATTTGCACAAGCTACAAACAGCCGTCACTGACACTGGGCAAGAGATTTCAGCTCCAACTATTGTGCAAAACTTGGTGCAAAATACTGCTACACGTTGCACTAATTGTGGTTCCACAGGACATGCAACCAGAGCACCTTCCTGTCCAGCGAGAGGACAGCGGTGTAGGAACTGCAACAAGCTGAATCATTTTGCCCGTTGTTGTCGTTCGGCGCCTGCAAGGCAGTGTCAAATGGATAAAGACAACAGTGCCCCATTAGCACAGTGCAGCACAAGTCATCGGTTTTTAAAAATTGTGAGTGCTACGTGGGGGATGCAAAGATTTCGCTGCTCATTGACACAGGAGCAAAGGTATCTCTCCTGAACAAATTCACATATGATACCTTTTTTCCACACGTGCCACTGCAGCCAACAACCCTCTCTCTCTTCAGCTACAATCAATCACCTATTTCAGTCATTGGGACAATATGTTTGCCACTGCATTACAAACCTACAACAATACCTGCAGCTGTGTTTTATGTTGCGACACAGGGCGCCAACATACTTGGGCTGGATTTATTCCATGCCCTAGGCTTCAAGCTGTCAGATTCAAATGGCTAACAGGTCCTTCACCTGTCTTCACCATGGGCCACCACTCACCCACAGATTTTTGAAGGGTTGGGATGCCTTTCAGGTTTTGTTCATCGCCCCTATGTCAGCAAGCAGGTGAAGCCTGTCATTCAACCATTAAGGAGAGTTCCCCTCACGCTCAGAGATCCGGTGGCAAAAGAGTTGCAGCGCCTCCTGGAGGATGACATTATTGAACCCATTGATGCTTCGCCATGGGTTTCTAACTTGGTCATCGCATACAAGAAAAATGGCGGATTACGGCTTTGTGTTGATTTATGGGCCGTTAACAAAGCCATTATCCCAGACAGATACCCACTACCAACATCAGAGGAGCTAACTGCCCATTTCTATGGGTCTCAAATTTTCAGCAAACTGGACCTGCGGAGTGGATATCTCCAAGTGCCTCTGGCTCCAGAAAGCAGAGATCTGACTTCTTTTATTACACATAAAGGCTTGTACAGGTACAAATGTATGCCATTTGGGCTTAGCTCCGACCCTTCCTGTTTTCAAAAAATCATGACACTTTCAATCTACTTAGACGACGTGGTGGTCCATGGCACAACACAGGCTCAGCATGACAGTCGTCTAAAACAGGTATTCCAACGACTCTCAGAACATGGGGCAACTCTCAACACAGACAAATGTGTGTTTGGGGTCTCTGAAATCGAATTTCTAGGCCACAGACTGTCCAGCAAGGGGGTCACACCTATCATGTCTCATGTGGAGGCCATTCTAAACTTACCTGAGCCACAGTCCGTCGCGCAGCTTGCATCATTTCTCGGCATGGCCAACTATTACTTACGCTTCTTGCCAAACTACGCGGCTACAACTGCCCCACTCCGCCACTTGCTGAAAAAAGACACACCATGGAAATGGACACCAGACTGCCAGGAAGCAGTTCAGGTGATCAAGAGGCAGCTTACCTCAACCCCCACTTTAGCCCATTTCGTTCCAGCGACACAGATGATTGTCACATGTGATGCATCTGCTCTCGCTGTGGGAGCTGTGCTGTCACAGTTACATGAGGGAACAGAACACCCTGTGGCTTTTGCCTCGCGGGCCTTGTCCCCAGCTGAGCAGAAGTACTCCGTCGGTGAACGGGAGGCACTGGCCTGCATGTGGGCATGTGAACGGTGGCATCTATACCTGTATGGGCGATCCTTCACACTACGCACAGACCACCAAGTCCTCATGGCACTGCTGGGTCCAAAGGGGTCTGGTCACAAGCCCTTGAGGCTTTTCAGGTGGTTTGACCGTCTAAACCAGTACAATTTCATACCAGAGTTCACCCCTGGCCGTCAAAATGCAGTAGCAGATCTGTTGTCCAGGGCGGTCATGCCCTCAACAGTGGTGCATCTTGCCAGTGCTGACGAGGAGGATTGGGTTCACATGCTACATGGCCCGCTGCAATCAGCTGTGACGCTACAGGAACTCAAGCAAGCATCGCAGGATGATGAGTTGCTATCAAAGCTTCGTACATATATCAGAGAGGGGTGGCCTGTTTCAGTGGGTAGTTCATTACTTCCATTTTACGGGGTGAAAGATGAGCTGTCGTGCTGGGAAGAAGTATACATTGCTAGGGGCTACCGCACATTGATTCCGGAGGCCTTGAGAGCCAGAGTGCTTCGTATGGCTCATGAAGGGCATCTTGGCATGGTAAAACTAAGGCAGCGCTGCAGAGACTCAATCTGGTGGCCTAATATTGACCGGGACATAGAGTCCCTTGTCAAGGACTGTGCAGCCTGTCTTCTGAGCGGGAAGTCTGGCTCCCCTGTTCCCGCACCCCTGAATCCACTCCCCTGGTCAACAGCACCTTGGGAACACCTGGAAGTGGATCTCTGTGGTGAACTGCATGGTGCACCAGGACATGCTTGGTTCCTCTTAGTCGTCCACGATCTCCACTCAAAGTGGGCCGAAGCCATACCGCTGGCTTCAGCCACCACACAAGCAATCATTAACCAACTGGACAAGCTATTTTGGCAGTGGGGATTACCTAGCATTATCACTACTGACAATGGACCTCAGTTTGTGTCTGCGGAATTCACCACTTACCTCCAAAACCAGTCAATCAAGCATATCCGCACTGCCATCTACCACCCTCAAGCAAATGGTGGGGTGGAAAGACTGA